CGTGGAATGGGGAATGGCTGCATTTGAAGGTGATTCATGAACGCACCCATTTGTATGTTGTAGTAGTTGTTTTGCATTACTTAATTAAGAACAGGTGCATGCATGCGCGGTTTTCCACCCAAGGCTCCCCAACCCTCGTGTGTTGGAACTTCTGGATTCATCAACTCATGCATATTATATATAGTGCGGCCGGTGTCAAAGCAACATTGATTGTTTTAACTTGAATCCTCACATTGTTCCAGCAAGCAAGGTCACCCACATCAGTATCTGTGCACGCATGTGCATGTGCACGTGGATAGCCTATGATTGTGCACGACTGTTGTGAGTCATGTGCGCATGCCATGTGTGTCACGCATGTGTGCACATGCGTGCATGATGTAGCTGGATCCATGAAGTCTGTACTATTGGGAGTCACACCTAATAGATGCCAATGACAACTACCACAGCAATTTGACTTTGATCGGAGTCTTTCAAATCTTCTTGGTCAGGACAAGGGGTCGATGCTGACAGCCAGGCCACCACAGTTCCAGGCGACCCTGTTCTCCAGACCCCAGCCAATAGGATCCGGAGGTCCGGCACAATCCCAGACATGTCAAAAGAAAAGACTACATGTCCTGCAGTGAAGAAGGAGGCAAGGAAGATCGAGGAACCTGCAGCGAAGCCTGCAGATGGACAGCCTGAGAAGCGCCCTGCTTCATCACCGCCACTGGAATCCACGTCCAGTGGGTCAGCACAACACAACACTGACAGTGAGCTCATAGCAGTGAAGAGGCAGAAAGTGGAGATGGAGAACTCAGCGCCTGCCTTGCAGGAATCCGCTGGTGATGATTCCGGGAGCGATGACTGTGTCTTCCTCGGGGCTGTCCATGTTGACCTACCTCAGCAAAAGTGTACAGCCGCGAAAACAAAGTCATCAAGGCCAGTGAGAAAGGGTGAGGCAACGGAGAAGGAAAGTATTTTAGAGAATGGAGGAAAAGTGAAGGAGCAAGTGATGAAGACACCTGTGACTCCACTGCCCAGTACACCTATGACAGAACAAACACGAAAGCAAACCCTTGTGGCACAGGCCAACAACTTGCGAAGGGCATCCACTGAAAGCCAATTCCTGTCTCCTTCTCTCGGCGAAGCTCCTGCTAGCCCCAAGGCGCCTTTGCCTGAGGGAAAATGTGAGAAGAAGGACGAGGATGTTGATGATGAACAGGAGGATGAACCAGAAGAGGAGGATGACCAGGATGACAATGAGAGTAAGAATGAAAAGCGTTGCAATGAAAAAGATCAACCGAAAGAATCAATGGCTGAAGGCGATACTGAGAAGGAAAAGGGCAAAGGTCGAACAAGAGCGCGAAAGCCGAAGACTGAAGAACAGAAGAAGCTGCATGCAAGGTTTATGAGATTCACAAGGTCGATCCAACGCACTTTGACTGCATGTGCTCAATCTAGTGGACAGCTAATATTTCAAATAGTGGCTGATCAATCAACACAGCATGAACGGTGGTGTATGTGAATTCAGTCACCAATCGAAAACTTCTTTGAGGTCCAATATGGTCCAATATGAATTATATTACTAAGATCGAATTAATACATCAGTGAGTACTATGTAACGTGGATCTTAATGTGTTAATATGCTTGATCGTGAACTGTGTTTTTCCGACCTTCCAACCTATGCACCCTATGATGTGAGCGTCTACGTGATGCGATGTGACTGCTCAGGCAAGGATACCCCACCAGAGTTGAGGAAGGCTCACAAAGCTTCAAAGCACTGCATCTCTCCTGCATGAATTCAAAAAGTTTATATTGATCTACTATACGTAAAAGATATGATAATATATGTTTACAAGCCCATGTGACCACAGCGCATGCAAGTGACCGGGGGTGCTTGCACTACCAGTGTTTTGGCCACACGCACACACACACATAAAACGATATTATGATATGTCCTCGCCCAAATTGATGACTCATAAATATGATGCTGCGAGGTTCTCACAAACTACAGATTTTGTTGGACGAGTGGGAGACGTGCGCTGGCCAGTGGAAGAAGAGCACCCTGTACTCGAAGCTTTCTGCCAAAACGACAGAGAGGTCCTACGGGGCCCGCGTGTGGCTCACGCGGGCCCAAATAGCGGCGAAGTACGGTGGAGGGGAGGAAGGAAAGGCAATAGCCGATTCGATATGCGAAGGCAAGTTGAAGGACCCAGAGATTGCTGCTACACACACGAAATGGCATCCAGATGCCCCTGGAAACGAGGCCCCTCTTGAACATGCATGTATACACAAGACACCTACCATGCATGCATTATTGATCAACACATGTTTCACTGCCCTATGCAAGCATGCGCATGCACATGCTGCATGCCTGTTTGTGTACACACCTTTGCATTGACTCGATTTCATGATTATATCCACTTCACTGCTCATTGCAGCCATTGTTCTTGCAAGCTTGATCTTTGGCAGGCCTTGAGGCTGTTCTTGGTGTGGGATGCTGAGGGCACCAGTGAGGAGACCGATACAGTTGTACAACAACTGTTTGAATCGGTGGCGGGGGCGGACTCTGAGAGCGAAGAGGATCAAAAGACTAAGAAGTCAAAGGGTTCGAAGCGCAAGAAGCGTGACTCGAGTGGCTCAGCGACGGCTGCACCTTCCTCATCTACCGGCAGCAGCTCATCTGGTGACAAGGCGATCGATCATGTGATATATTATATATTAAATATGTTTGATTGCATATGCGCTCCAGTATCTGCACCTTGTGCATGGCAAAACTTGACAAAGATCATGTATGCATGCGTGCATGCATGCATGCGTATGCATTGTGCAATTTGTAAGTCTTGTGGTTCTTGCAAGCCGATGGATTGGTATGCAGTATGTGTGCTTGAAACCTGGCGGATCAGGGAAAGAAGAAAAAGAAGAAGGCCAAGAAGAGCAAAAAAAACAAGAAAGACAAGAAGGAGACTAAGGAGCAGAAAGATAAGAGGCTGGAGAAAGAAAAGTTGAAGAGAGAGAGGGAAGAGGAACGTGAACGGGCAAAGGTGGAAAGGGAAAGTCTGAAGAAAGGTCGACAGGCTTGACGGGTGGGAGGACAGTAGTTTTCTCGGTCATGCAAAGTGATGTTATCTTCTAGCCGCTACTGCCTGGAGTGGTAAGTATAGTATAAATTGTTTGTTTAACGGTTCAGTCCAGCAGTGTTCCAGTGGAGTTGTGTTCACATGTTGATGAATGAAGATGGCACTCATACAAGCATTCGACCAATGTGTGCCCACTAGTTTCTCTTTTGATTTCAACACGCATCAAAAAATAACGTGCTTTAGGGGGAATGCAACCATGCAATCTAGGACCCATTCATTCCTTTGGGGGTTCATGCTTTGCTTCTGAAACCAAGGCCGGATGGACTGTGGACCCACCCATTGAATGCATGCGGGTGCAACGAACGAACCACCTCCCATTGCTGCAGGCCTTGACGAAGATGAACGACAAGATTTCGGACGCGTGCAAGAAGATCAAACAAGTGCAGGGTATGCTGGGACCTTGGTGGGCTGATGAGGACATGGGAGCTTGAGAAATGATTTGGTTGGTGTCATGACGACAGGCCCTGGTGCTCCTTAATGGGTGGATGCCCATGGACTGCATGCAGCCATGTACCACCTACAAAAACAAATTGTGTCATGAACATGCCAATCAGCAGGGCACACACGCATATGAGACAAGAACCACGTGTATATATATACAAAAAAATGTAGAGGATAGATCATGGCTAGGTTTGGGCCCAAGACCTCCATCCAAAATGATTCTTCCTTTGGGGTCTCCCATGGTCGGGTAGGTGACATCCAAATACATGACATCCAAATGAACTAGATCGATCGAAGCTTATCACCATATATCCGTCAGTGATGCCACGCATGGTCCCATGCAATACTTGCGATTGATGTTACGATGTTTCACAAATTAGTGAATAAAAAATCACGCATGCATGCAGGTTCCGGAGTCAAATAGAACAACACATCGATCCAGCCACTCCTCCAGCTGCCATCCACTGACACACTACTGATTAATTAGGTCCCCATCGTTTGAACTGCTGCCCAGTTACTGCACGATTGAATCAGTGAATGGAATCTCCAATTAAATCTTTCAGATTCCTTCAAGAGCGCCCCTCAAAAAACATATAATGCATACATTGTTATATTGTTGCAGCACTATATGCGACCCCCACCCCACACCCTCCACCCCACAGCTGAGCCGACCAACATGAGTGAGGTCGCCGACCCTGAGAGATGCGATTCAGGGTGAACTCAAGGACTTCAGCTCGAAGCTGATCAAGAGTCGGGATGTCATCTTGCAGCTGGTGGATGAGAACAAGGTTCTTGATTCTATTGGTTTGCAATTCGCATGTACCAAATAAACTCAGCAGAAGGTTCCAAGCATATGTAAATAATATACAACATGGTACGTGTTGAACTAGAAGTCAGCTCTGCAACATCACCGTTGCAACTCAGGTTGGTGAAGAGCTTACCAAGTGCATCGAGTCATCGAAGAAGCTTGAGAACGATTACGATGGCTTTTTGAAGCGGGTCAATCTAAAATAGATTGGATGACCTGCCTAAATCTCTTTGACCTAGCTGGTGCGAAGCTGTGTTAGTGGCACCTGACCCTGTTCGAAGGATGCCTCACATAGAAGTTTCCTATGCGCGCATATATTGTCCATATGTGTTTCATGCAGTCTCCATGGCCCATCTCATGTGCTCTTTCTTGTGAATGGGTCGTCATTCAGATCAAAGTTGTGAAGGCCCCCAGGGTATGAACAGGTCAAGCAGGTACAGTCTCAGCTCGCACACGGCAATGGTGCAATCCGAGCGGAGGGGCCGTGAAAAAAGTATTCCACAATTCCAGGTCGAGTCAGCATGCATCCAATCTCTAGTTCAGATCCCATGGTACAAACCTGGAATCGCATGTACTTCTCATGACCCCAAAGCCCCAACACAACCTTTTTTACTGTGGCCGACCCACCGCAGTTGATGATGGCGATCCTATCATTTCGAGGGTCCTCGAAACTGCAGTTCATGATGTGAGTTCTGGAGCCACCCGGCTGCACTTGTGAGTGCTAGACAGTCTGATCTTCGATCTTTATAAAGGGCTACCTGCAAACTTATAAATATATATATATATATAGAACCTTGTCTTGGTCGACCTTTCTTAGCATGCATGGTGAAGTGCCACCCACCCTTCCGGAAATCCTTTGAGGCTGCAACCGCTGGCAAAGCAATGCGGCATCTAAAGGACCATGTGCAGGTGCCTGGGCACGTGGAAAAGGGGAAATGGATATGACTGGATGAGACAACAAAAAGGGATATAAGATCTGGGCTTTTAGAAAAACACTTTTAGGGATCCATGCATGCACACGCACACACGACCAAGAAAGCATCAGTGTGGCACTATTTCATTAATTTACAACATGTGGGGAGGTGCAGTGTGAAGCATTCATTATAGTTTTTTTTAAAGAATATAAGTTGCGCAGCACCTACGTATGCCTGCATGCATGTGTGCATGTGCTTTTTGACATACATTGGTGGGATAAATCGCGAGATCCTATCGCTCGTGGTGTGACACATCCGTACCCTTTGGCCTCCACGTGCCTGTGATCAGCAGAACTTCGCAGGACAGCAAAGGCTTATGCATGAACCCGATGACACGTCGCCTTGGTATCATTGGCAAACATCGAAATGCTTCCAGAGATTGGTGGCGGAACCTTGCCAAAGACGGACCAGACGCTTCATTGCAAGATGGCCAAAGAGTGTGTATATAATTTGCGCATGTGGTTCACTGTTAATTTGCTTTGTGCTTGCTCTTTTTCCTGCCATACTGACCTGGCTCTCGCTCACAGTTAATCAGCCGTGCAGGGTGACTGTATTGAATTCATGCACAGTGCGCGCGCATATTTTGTGCGGGAAGGGATGTTGACATGTGCCCCAGGTAATCCAGTACATTCGACTTCCCATCAAATATCAAGATCTTCAGGATGGGCAGGACAAGTTTCGGATGGAGGATTGGCCAATCCTAGACGTGCATTCGATTATGCACTATTTGGTGGACACATGCAAACTGCAAATACCAGAGTTTGCTGTTCGGAAGTATTGGGATCACAATCGTATACATGGAGAACGCTGGGCACAGAACGTAGATCCGTCAACTTTGCCTGTTGGATTGTTTGGGGACGGTGCCACGATGCGCACTGCCTTTGGATCCGAGTCATTGATAGGCATTTTTGCCAACCTGATCTTGTGGACCCCACCCAGTATACGGCACAGCCGCTTCTTGCTATTCGCTATTCCAGAAGAAAAACTTTGGGGTTACCACACATTGAACAAGGTCCTCAGGAGGATTTCCTGGTCCTTTGAGTGCTTGATCCAGGGGACCCACCCCACAGTGGGCGCGTATGGCGAGAGATTGACCTCCCCTTCTCTTCGAGCTTTGTCAGGGCAGCCCTTCTCTCGAAAGTATGCCTTGACAGAGATAAGGGGTGATTGGAGTTGGCTCAAGAAGATATTTCGCTGGGAGAGAACATCCTGGAATTCAATCTCGGTTTGTCACATGTGCAACGCCAAGAGCTCTAGCGCTGACCCGAAAGACTTGTATTGGAATTACCACGACAACAACTGGGATACATCTTTTACTCTTCAAGAGTACTTGGCCCACAGGATGCCACCAAGTGGGATTTGACCTTTGCATTGGCCATAGCAATCATTGTTATTTGAGTTTTGTTTGGGCTGTTCATGTTCCAAACATCTACAAATTTCTGCACGCTAGCTCATTGCTGGCCCTGGTTTCAGTGACTTGCCCAGTTGCAAACGCCCAGGCCCCCTGATTGGCATCACAGGATTTGAGACCATCCTTTATGTGGTCAATGGCTCAGCTATGCACCTCAATGGCACTAATGAACACGGGCTAATCTAATAGCTAAGACAATTGTTTGATTCTCTTTGCATTTGATTGGCAGAGTAGGTCATTGATCTCGGAGATGTGACCTGGTATCGCTACTGCCAAGGAAGCTACATAGTATAGCGCTATAGTATAAATTAATCACATTGTCATACCAAACTCCTCAACTGAGGAATCTACTGCTGCGATGTGGCTGGTTTGGCAATGAGGCCAACGTGAAAGTGGATGTCAAGCTTTCCCGAGCGCATGTGGCTTTTAAGAGCTGGTGCAGGAACAATCGGGTGTATTGTTCACAGCCAATGTTCAAGCCAAAAATGGTGCCTAGATCAGAATTGGTAGCTTTGGGGTATATTTTTGAATGGAATCAGGCCAGTATGGATTTAATAGCTTGGTCTTCAAGTTCACCCCCTCAATCGACCTGCGGAGCTAAGATCTTCAAGAAGAATGGAGACATATTATTCACCCTCAAGGCCTATAATGGCCGGGCAGTTTTTGGGTGGCTGACAGATGTGGTCTTTGAAGCCAGTCAGAATGACCAGTTCGCTTCATTTGACTCTCGCTTCCCCCTGATCGCTCTAGCAATGAAACTCAGCCAGCTTTAGTGTGCCATGTGGCTCGCACGCATGCATGCAATGACGCACGCGCATGCAAGAGTGTGTGCATGGCACTGCACAGCAAACAGTGTGACCATGTGTGACCCACGAATGTTTCACCTGCCCAGGAAACATTTGGCCCGGTTTCTTGGCCAACTTGAGGAATCTGGCCGCTATTTGAACCTTTACTGCAATATGCATGCATGCATGTTCTCCTGATAGGGGGTTCATTCACCCTACACAAGGTTGGTGAGAGCAACGCACTGCATTGCATCCCGCTAGGACACAGGCGAAAGCTGATTCTATCTTCCAAGATGGCCGGCGGTTCTTGGATATTTATTCGATCTTGACCGTGCAATCTTTGAGGCTGGTGCATGCATGGTATGGTATATTAGCTCTGGGTGGGACAGTGGGACACACAAAGCACACAATAATGAGACCAAGGATTTGAAGTTGCGCAATTAACAGAATTCCTAAGTGCGTGCATGCTGGTCCCCTGCTAGGCTTGGACATTTGGAGTGGTTGGTCCGACCAAAGTGTCACGCCCCTCGGTTCTAATTCCTAGTGTTTCATCGATTTAGTGTGCATGCCCTCAACTCTTTGGCTGCGCTTGATGAATCTTGGGAAGGAACAGTGCAACTATTAGTGCTTTCAGGCACTGTGGCATCTCCTACAGTCTATCAAAAAGAACTGAGCCTGGTCCAATTAGCAAAACGTAAACCATGCATGCATGCATTGTCTTTGCATGGGATGGAAACCTGCTACCAAGCCATATTAGCGATGCAAACCAAACCGTTCCAAAATTTATTGCCCCACTTCCGCTTCCCATCTCGCCATCCCCCTTTTGCCCAACTTAAGGCTGCAACGTCAAGTACCATCATGGATTCCGAGATGAGGATGGCATGCAATGGATGAAAAGTGCCTAGGCCCCATCTACTATGTGCACAATTGTCTGATCAGTTTCTGAATTTTTTGCTGTTATACGCTGGCTGATCTTGCCATTTATGTGTTGACATTGGTTTTGTGCACTGGTCTCCTGAGAAACGTGGTTCAAAGCGCACGCTTCTGGAAGATCGAAATGGATCATGCGCTGCTCACGCCTACGGTGCCTTTGAAGCAGAATGCAAAAAGATTTTGTTCTGCATGCATGCATCTTGAATGTGATGTGTGTCCACTTGCTGCCCTTTCATTTTAATCCATTGCACTTACTCAGGATTTGGTCTACTCATACCAAGATCAAGAAGTTTCCTTGCTGCATGTGTCCCTTGCCAGCTGGGTTCTTGACATGCTCTATGTGGTGTGGAGCCAAGGTTCAACGCTTCCGTGGCTGCCAAACTTGCCAAGCACCACTAGCTTGCGGAAAAAGCTGCAAATCAGAAGGTTGTGATACCTTCCAAAGAAAGGTGGTTATAGGAACGACCTTTGTTTTCCACTGGGGTGGATGCTTAGGGCACAGATCTGATAGAGGTCTTGCAGGATGACACAAGCGTGTCAAGCGATCACGATCTGAGTAGAGGAAGCATCACCATTTTTTTGACTGGGCAGAGAGTCAAGCAAGATCATGCCAAATCTGTTGATTGATGTCATGAGATCCTATGAGGAGAGAATTCAGAGTCTTTGCCCCTGCCTTCCCGAAGATTGCTTGGCCAACCAATAGTTTCAGCTGAATGCTATCCCTCTCAAGAGCTCCTTAGTCCTGATGACCCACTGCTGGGCGGCAGAAATCAGCCAAACAGGCAGCCACATGCAACTGGACGTTTCGGATCTTTATAGTTGCATCACTGACTCACTCACATGGAAGTTGGCAAACTAACTGTAACCTGTTTATAACGGACCAATGGGTCTTCCAGACCTCGATGTGTTTGTACCATCACCGGGTTTGTCATGGGTTTGTCTCACCAACGCCAAGGCTCAGCGTACCCTTGATGGCTTTGATGAAGATCGCCCTCTTCTCGGAGCTGGTGTCGGAAAGCTCAGGAAGAGCAGCTGACTCTGAGATCCAAAATTCAAGAAGTACTAAGGAATTGCTGTATCAATTACACTTAACAATATTCTACCAATGAAGTCCACTTGTTTCTTCGGAATTAAGACGGGGGGGGCAGTTTTGAAGGTAATGTTATTTTGTAAAATATACTATAATACAGTACACTATATATATATATAGTAAGAGTAAGATGCATAACAAAACACAACATAACATAACATATAGCATAGCATAGCATAGCATAGCATAATATAATGCACTGTACGCTATCATAGGGTCAAATACAGTCAACGTCATCCCCGCTTTTTGCAGCGACCGGATCGCCATCCCACCACGACCGTTTCCAACGAGGCCCTCCAGCTACCGTGATCCCATTCTGGTGATCCTCGAGGGCGATCGCCGGGCACCGCAGAAGCACGGCCTCCAGGCGGCGGCGAACGCGGGCGCGAATGAAGCGGGGAAGAAGGGCGAACGGATTCGGGAGGTGACGTGAGTTAGACTTGTTCTTTTTTAAGTGTGTGTGTGTGTGTTCCTTTCGTTTTTTTACAGGGATCGGGAGCGACTTAGCCTGTAGGTCTGCAAGCTTACGTTTGGCGCCATAACTCGTACCAGGCGTAAGTCGGGATCAAGATTACAAACAGACACATGAATGAACAAAACATAGTGTTCAGCAGTAGAATCCAAGATGTTACAAGATGTTCAGAAGAAGGCGGAAGTTCTATCTCATCGGATGCCAGATGTCGGGCATCTTGTGGGCAAAGGGAGTAGCCCCTTTGTAGGGAGTTGTTGGCTCGTCCGAACACCGGATTCTCAGTTGTCTTCCTATTGGTCCTATTATGTTATAAGTTGAAGAAATCTGAAGGCAAGATACCCCACACGACCCTGTTCCAAGTGGTTTTTTCCTGGCAGTCTTCTTCAACCACATGCCAGCCGGTGATTCTGTGGACCCCATGCCTACTCGACCTGGAGAGGTCCGTTCGGATGTCGGGTGATGAATGCTGCCAGGCCTCCAAGTGGGAAGCTCAGCAAGACGGCCGATACGATGAAAGCGGTGAACGCGGATGAAAGCCCCGGAACTGGAGAGTCGAGTAGCAGAGAAAGACTTAGCGCCCAAAGCCACCGAAGCTTGCAATGAATTCTAGACTGGATTTGTTCCAGTGTGGACAGGTGCTAGGCCCGTGTCACCCCGTGTCACTCCAAACCGACTCGGGTTCATCAGCTCCGCACAAGCTCGAAGAGATGACCAAGTTGATCCAACAAGCAACACTACCAACAAGCCGAAAGTGTTCAACCAAACCTTCTTCTGTACACCTCGGCGACCGGTGGGCCACGGCCTCCAGGCGTCCCAACGGCGCCGTGCCCGGTGGCTGAGAGGGGCCGCGCCGGCCCAGTCGGCCGAGGGATCGGCGGACCAGTAGATTCGAGAGATGACTGCAAAGCTCAGCATCTCCAAATCCACCGACTCGCTCGCTTCTTGCGCCGAAAGAGGTCGCTGTGGATCGCAGTGGTCCTGGATGCTGTCGTCGAAGTGCGCACAAATGCCTGTGCAGCCGACCAGACGGACCAGACATCCTGTTTTTACATTGTCTTAAACGAGATCATAGGAAGCGTATGTAAGCGCTATCTACTATGGATCCTTCAAGCCTACAGACGCAGATGGGGACTGGGGGGACACTGGAACACGAGCTTTGCTGCAGGTGGAGCATGAGAAGATTCTGGGGATTTTGAACAGGCCTGGGAGAACGAATCCGTCTTGCAGGTGAGAGACCAGTGACGGTTTGCAGTGACGGATAGTGACGGTTTGATTCCGAAACTGGAGACAAGATTGAATAGCTGTTGTGTCTAATCTGTGTGTAATAAAACCGTTTGGAGACCGTTTGAACCGCTCTTTGATTCCGTTTGGAGACGGTGTGATTAGTTCCTTCCAGAACCATAGCGGTGTGGCGGTGATTGAAATCGAAGCATTTTTTCAGACACGATGACGTGCAAACACACACGCACACACACACATCAGGACTACGGTCGTTTCCGACCGCCGTAGTGCCACTGGGCATGCCAAGAATAAGATTGAACTCTGTGGGGACAGCTGGTTTTCATTGGGACGGATTCCATAGATGCTTTTCTTCCACCTGAACCAATCAATCAGCCGAACCGTTGGTCTTTTGATCGCAGTGCATCGTTTGTGGACCTGACGATCGGCGCCGCGCTTTCGGCGTGCTGGAGCCCTGGGCGGCGCTGGCACTGGCGATCGGCGCGGTCGCAGGCATCCGGTGGAGCGAGCCAACTTCATGAAGCTGGTGGAGGCGAGACAAGCAGAACAGTCCAAGCCAAGCGAAGAAGCGGACCGGGTGCGAGAAGAAGGATTATTTGTTTGGTGAGTGCATGTCCATGATTGTCCATGTGATTCTTTTTTGGTGGCTCCAAATAGATAGACCCCTGGAAAGTAGCATCATAGAACCAAAATCCTACTTTGATTCCTTGGACTAGAGGTTCATTGTTGTCCGATAATGCTGGGCCTTGACTGGCAAATCTTCCATGCAAACAATTCAGGCTTTGATCAAGAACCCAAGACAAACACCATGATATGGTCAGGATCACAAGTCAAATGGACGAGCATGCCAAGCACACAGATACACTGTCGGGGTCAAATGGACGAGGTGCTCAGAACCAAGCTCCAAACAGCTCCTTGTGGTTTCGTCGCAGCTCCAAGCAGCTCCTGTTGCGGCAGTTCTTGTTTGTTCTGTCCCAGGAACATTTGGACAAATTGGCAGCCCCAAGGGTGATCCATCATAAGGCTTGGGCGGGTTGGCTTTTTGCGCGCGAAGGCGGTGACTGGTGTGTTTGTTTGTGTACAGATGGATTCATGATTAGACTAGACCATATTGGATCATTCCACAACGCTGTTTACATGATAGCAGAGGCGTTCAGATGTTCTGGAGATGTCTCTTTTCATCATTTTTCATCTGTGAATTATATATGGTTTGTTTGCCAATTGGGACACACCACCTGATGCTGGAGATGCCGAAGGTGAAGGTCGCACTGACAAAACGGCATAAGAGGTCTAGGACAAGCATGGAGGCAACATCCAATTCAATTAGTAATTTGAGAAGATATAATATACTATATATAAAAAAGGTAGACATTTGGGGGGGTACCGTATATATATATATAGATTCATGAATTCTGCCAGGTGTACGTGTACGTTTACGGAGCAGCTTGGGCACTAGAATGACCGGGTTCTCCAACAAAGATCCGGTGCTTGGGATTACCAGCACCGGCTCCAAACGGAATAGACCCACCCTTCTTGCACTTGACAATGTATAAAAGAATCACCCACAGATTCAGATGTCCCTTCAACATCCTTCAACTTTTTTAGAAAGTTTCAGACAGCTATGAGGTCTCGCCTGTCCCGTCCGTCTCCTTTTCGTTTGGTGCCCACTCTTCCCACTCTTCGTTCTTCCACCGTCTCCGACCGCCTTGCCGCCGGCTCAGCTCTTCGCGGACTTCAGCCCGCAGTTCCGGACCTTGGTCGGGGTCAACTGTGAGAGGCGGGACGACATGGAGCTCTTCGGAGCTCGGTGGGACAGGGACGACACATGGATGAACGACATGGATGGGGAAGTGAGAAGTCATCCAACCGCTGTACACCGCTTCTCCCTTTACGCCAGTTGAAAAGGGGTGTGCCACGCGGCCTCATCCTGTTTTGGGCCGCTCACCCACCGGGGGTGGCACCGTTAGCCGTTAAAACAACAAAGAACGAGGAAGAACGTAGGGGTGGCAACACGGGTTACTGAAGGAAGTCTGAAGGACATATTACGCTTTGTGGTGTCGAAGTGGCCAAAGGTTTCGGGATGTTTGGGGGTTGGTGAGAATGTGTGACATGCTGTTTTACCCAACTGGCACACCAGGATGAGACTACTTTATATATATATAGACTACTAAATAACTGGTGCAAATTCCATGAGTACAAGCAGCATCTCATCAAGGACACAGGCCTTGCGCTTTGTTTGCTCATGTGTAATTTGAACTTAAAGGGAAAAAATCATGAAGGATTCTTCTCCCATGTTCTCATATGTTCTCCCAATTAGTGCGTTTCTTCCACTCTAACCTGCTGAACAAAAACATGGAAAAAAACACTTCCCAACCAAGTTCTGTCTGCCACGGTCACCAACAAGTCGCCCCGATTCAGGCGGCTTTACTTTCCACGCGAGACCATTGTCCGTGAAGGCTCTGCAGGTGAGATGGGCTGGTCGACCTGGTCGGGGGTTGGGTAGACCGTCCGGTGGCCCTGACGCTCGGATGGAATGGTTAGCGTCAAACAATGCTTATACAACTACAGTGAATTCAGAGGTCCGATGGCACTGGCACC